ATTTCACTACTGTTACAAGTCATAATGTAGATATCTGATATGCAGGATGTATTTTCATCCACTGGACCAAAATTGGCATTTGAGAGTTGTAGTTGATTTTTGTCATTTGGGAGTTGTGGGATTTATAGTCCACCTACAATTAAAGAGCATTCTGAACTCCACCAATGATGTAATGGAAACAATTTTAGCACACAGAACTCCCATGACCAACAGAAAATACTACGAGAGTTTGGTGGGCACTGACCTGCTTTCCGTCCCGCCATTGTCACAGGCACGATTGGTGGGGACGAGAGACAGGGCCTTCTCGGTGATTGCTCCCTGGCTATGGAACTCCCTTCCTGGTGAGATCAGGTCAGCCCCCTCCCTCCTGTCCTTTAGAAGGATGGTAAAAACTTGGCTGTGGGACCAAGCTTTCGGGACAGGGCAATGAAGTGGCAGTGGGAAAGATGACAGAGCCAATTGGATTTGACGCTGATGACTAGGACGGTTTTAAATGGTGTATTTTAATATTCTGATTTTTTTTTAATGTTTATGTATTGTATGTGAATTTGTGTCCCGGCATTGAATGTTTGCCGTGTATATGCTGTGCTCCGCTCTGAGTCGCCTTCGGGGTGAGAAGGGCGGAATATAAATGTTTTAAATAAATAAATAAATAAAAGTTGTTCAAACTGCCAAAACTTTGTTTTTGCGGGAGGGACATCCTGCAGCACATTTCCCTGTAATTTTTCAATGAATATCTCAACCAATTCAACATAGTTTGTAGAAGTTTCTGGAGTAGAACTACTACTTTCAAAGTAAGGACTGCACATTTAACAGGGGTGACACTTTCAAACCAGAAACAGATTTTTTTCTTCTTGGAAATCACATCTTGCTCCAAGTCTAACTACTGTGATTTTTAAAGATATACAGCAACTGTAATGTGATATGAAACAAATACTACTGTAATTTATAGCATACATCCATAAGTGATGGAAATGCTAGATTCCAGCCAAAAGTCGGAGAAACAAACACAGGCCCCTTCCACACAGCTGAATAAAAACCCACATTATCTGCTTTGAACTGGAATATATGGAAGTGTGGACTCTGACAACCCAGTTCAAAGCAGATATTGGGGATTTTCTGCCTTGATATTCTGGGTTAAATGGCTGTGTAGAAGGGCCCACTATGTATGTGTGTGTGTGTAAGAATGAACATGCTTGGGGACCCCCAGAAATCTTTCCAAGAACCTCTGCTTCAGGACATTAAGGCCCCTTCCACATCTGTATAAAATCCACACTGAACTGGATTATATGACAGTGTGAAATCAAATAACACAATTCAAAGCAGATATTTATTTATTTATTTATTATTTACGACATTTATATGCTGCCCTTCTAACCCCAAAGGGGACTCAGAGCAGCTTACAAGGTATATATACATACAATATATTATATTATTAGCATAGTACAATATCAGTATTAAATATTACCATATTAACTCAGAGCGGCTTACAAGGTATATATACATACAATATATGTTATATTATTAGCATAGTATAATATCAGTATTAAATATTACTATATTGTACTATACCATTATATTGTAATATTATTAATATTACATGTAATACAAATATATAATTATCATATCATATTATTAGTAGTATTATATTGCATTCCATTATAATATTATAAATATATGTATATACAATATATTATATTATATTACATTATATTATAAGAATAGAACCGGAAACAAGGTGGAACTGTCCCCTGGCCATCTTTAGAGACCAGGACATCAAATAATGGGTTCACATTGCAGGGAAAGAGATTTTCCACATTAGGAAAAACTTCCTGACTGTAAGAGCTGTTCAACAGTGGGACTCATTGCCTCAGAGTCTGGTGAAGTCTTATTCTCTGGAGTTTTTTAAAAACAGGCTGGATGGCTATCTGCTAGGAGCGCTTTGATTGTGTATTCCTGTGTGGCAGAAGACTGAACTGGGTGGCCCTTGGGGTCTCAATTATTCAGGGTTGGCTTAGTAGACCCAGCCGTCCTTGGATTATCTGTCTTGATATTCTGAGGTATGTGGCTGTGTAGAAGGGCCCTTCATAAAATCATAGAATCAAAGAGTTGGAAGAGACCTCATGGGCCATCTAGTCCAACCCCCTGCCAAGAAGCAGGAAAGTTGCATTCAAATCACCCCTGACAGATGGCCATCCAGCCTCTGCTTAAAAGCTTCCAAAGAAGGAGCCTCCAACACACTCTGGGACAGAGAGTTCCACTGCTGAATGGCTCTCACAGTCAGGAAGTTCAGTCAGGGGGAATCTCCTTTCTTGTAGTATGAAGCCATTGTTCCTTGTGCTAATCTCCATGGAAGCAGTAAACAAGCTTGCTCCCTCATCCCTGTGACTTCCTCTCACATATTTATACATGGCTATCATATCTCCTCTCAGCCTTCTCTTCTTCAGGCTAAATGTACCCAGCTCTTTAAGCCGCTCTTCATAGGGCATGTTCTCCAGATCCTTGATTATTTTAGTCGCCCTCCTCTGAACACTTTCCAGCTTGTCAATATCTCTCTTCAATTGTGGTTCCCAGAATTGGACACAATATTCCAAGTGTGGTCTAACCAAGGCGGAATAGAGCATGGGTAGCAGGACTTCCTTCCTTCCAGTAGCTAAACTCAGGCACTTCCATTGCAATATACTAAGGAAGATTGATGTTTCAGAAAGATGGTTTTGAAAAAAGCCCCAGTAGGTAATCCCAAATTGAGGCAGCTTTCTGAAACAGGGGAAGTGCTCTGTTACAAACTCTGGACCCTTCCACACAGCTGGATAAAGTCCACATTGAACTGGACTCAGGCCCCTTCCGCACAGCTGAATAAAACCCCACATTTTCTGCTTTGAACTGGAGTATGTGGCAGTGTGGACTCACTTAACCCAGTTCAAAACAGATATTGTGGGATTTTCCGCCTTGATGTTCTGGGCTATAGGGCTGTGTTGAAGGACCCTCAGTCCCCACTGCCATATATTCCAGTTCAAAGCAGATAATGTGAGAGTTTACTCTGCTGTGTGGAAGGTGCCCCAGTGGAGCTGCGTTTAGGACTGGGGAGGGGGAGCAGGATCGGGGGCGCAATCTTGGACAGGCGCCGTTGCCTCTGGCAGCCACTTTGGGGGATCCCCAAAGACCTGCTTGAGGGAGGGAGGGAGGGAGGGAGGGAGGGAGCGGGGCTTGCCCCACCGCACCACTAAGCCGCGAAATGTGTGGAGAAAGCCACCAAATCACGGGGAGTCGAGGACACCCCTTCCTTCCTTCCTTCCTTCCTTCCTTCCTTCCTTCCTTCCTTCCTTCCTTCCTTCCTTCCTTCCTTCCTTCCTTCCTTCCTTCCTTCCTTCCATGAATGAATGAATGAATGAATGAATGAAGGAAAGGGCCCTTCCACACAGCCCTATCTCCCAGAACATCAAGGAGGAAATCCCACTTTCTTTGAGTGTGGATTCAGATCACCCAGTTCAAAGCAGATATTGTGGGATTTTCTGCCTGGATATTCTGGGATAAAGGGCTGTGTGGCAGGACCCTCAGTTATCAGAGTCCACACTCAGATAATGTGGGATTTTCTGCCTTGGTATTCTTGATATAGGGTTGTGTGAAAGGGCCCTCAGAATACCAAGGTAGAAAACCCCGCAATATGGGTTTTGAACTGGGTTAGCTCAGTCCACACTGCCAGACATTCCGGTTCAAATCAGACGTGAGATTTTCTGCCTTGGGGGATAAAGGGCTGTTGAGAGGACCCTCAGAATGCCAAGACAGAAAATCCCCCAATATAGGTTTTGAACTGGTTTAGCTCAGTCCACACTGCCAGATATTCCAGTGGGATTTTCTGCCTGGAATATTCTTGATAAAGGGCTATTGTAAGGACCCTCAGAATATCAAGGCAGAAAATCCCACAATATAAGTTTTGAACTGGGTTAGCTCAGTCCACACTGCCAGATATTCCAGTTCAAATCAGATGTAGGATTTTCTGCCTGGATATTCTGAGGTATAGGGCTGCATGGAAGGGCCCTGAGTCCATAAGAACATATATTCCAGTTCAAATCAGATAATGTGGGATTTTCTGCCTGGATATTCTGGGATCAAGGGCTGTGTGGAAGGGCCCTGAGTTATCAGAGTCCACACTCGGATAATGTGGGAATTTCTGCCTGGATATTCTGGGATAAAGGGCTGTGTAGATGGGCCCAAAGTAACATCCATCTGGGACAATTCACGCCTGCACTGCCAGAGTTTTCAAGTTTATCTCCCCCCCCCCCCCCCCCGCCTCCTTTGAAGCGCGAGTTATTCTTCGGGACGAGGGAAGGAGGGAAGTTGGTCCAAGCGGCTTTGGGGGGCCAATTTCACCTTCTGATCCGCGCCTACCCCCCTTTTTCTTGACGCTTGAGAGCGCTAAGCCAGGCGCGGAAGGCGGCAGCAGTGGAAGGGTCTCTCCCCGTTTGATCTGAGTACCAAGGGGTCTCTTGATGCTGCTGAAAGCACTTTCGGGGTGGCTGAGACCCCGGGGGAAAGGGATCGTGGTCCCAAGCGGGTGGGTTTTGAAGGGCAAAGGGGCTTCTTCAGAAACGGGATGGAGGGGGGTCTTGCTTCCGAGGGGAGGCAGCTCCTTTCCCCCTTCAACAAAAGCCCCCCCCCTTTCCCCTTCCTCGCGTCCTCGTTCATAGCAAAGAGAATCGGATCGGTGCCTAACGCTGCTACGACTGAGCTCCAACAAGCTTCCCTCCCCCGCTTTGGGACGAAAGAAAGGAAGGAAGGAGGCGGGGAGGGAGCGAGGAAGGAAGGAAAGAAAGAAAGAAAGAGGGAGGGAAAGAAAGAAAGAGACAGACGCCCGCCCGCTTGCAGAGAGCTCTCCCTTTCCCTCTCGGCCCCCTCCTCCAGTCCTTCTCTCTCTCTCTCTCTCTCTTTCTCTTTCTCTCCCCCCCCCCCCCCTTATTGTCTTGCCTAACTTGTTGCTGTTGTGATGCGTGTCCCCGTAGATCCCAGCACCAGCCGGCGGTTCAGCCCCCCGTCCAGCAGCCTCCAGCCTGGGAAGATGAGCGACGTCAGCCCCGCGGCGGCCCAGCAGCAGCAACAGCAGCACGCGCACCCGCACGCGCCTCACCCGCAGCAGCAGCAGCAGCAACAGCAGTCCCAGCAACAGCAGCAACACCCCGAGGCAGCGGCAACCCCCCGGCTCCGCCCGCACGACAACCGCACCATGGTGGAGATCATCGCCGACCACCCGGCCGAGCTGGTCCGCACCGACAGCCCCAACTTCCTCTGCTCCGTCCTGCCTTCGCACTGGCGCTGCAACAAGACGCTCCCGGTGGCCTTCAAGGTAAGCCGGCGGCGCGCGCCTCTGCCTTGCCTCCTCCTCCTCTTCTCTTGCCCCCAAACCACAGGCTTCGCTCCTCGTCGCGCGCGCGCCCCTGGAAGCATCTCAGCCTGGATCTGGGAACCCCGGTGGCGCAGTGGGTTAAACAAACCCTTGTGCCGGCAGTTCTGAAGACCCACAGGTCGCAGGTTCGAATCCGGGCAGAGCGCGGATGAGCTCCCTCTCTCAGCTCCGGCTCCCCATGCGGGGATATGACAGAGAAGCCTCCCACAAGGATGGTAAAATATCAAAGCACCCTGGGGAACGTCCTTGCAGACGGCCAATTCTCTCACACTAGAAGCGACTTGCAGTTTCTAAAAAAAGATAAAAAAGCCCGGATCTAAGGCAGCAATATGTCAATGTATTGCCGGAATCAATTCATTGCCGGAATCACTAGGTGGTTGTAAGTTTTCCAAGCTGAATGGGCATGTTTCAGAAGCATTCTCTCCTGACGTTTCGCCTGCATCTATGCCAGGCATCCTCAGAGGCTGTGAGACCTCACAACCACTTCTGGAACATGGTCAGACTGCTCGGAAAACTTACAACCCTATGACAATGTATTGTCGAAGGCTTTCATGGCTGGAATCAATGGATGGTTGTAAGTTTTCCGGGCTGAATGGGCATGTTCCAGAAGCATTCTCTCCTGACGTTTCGCCTGCTTCTATGGCAGGCATCCTCAGAGGCTGTGAGACCTCACAACCACTTCTGGAACATGGTCAGACTGCCCGGAAAACTTACAACCCTATGACAATGTATTGCCGAAGGCTTTTGTGGCCAGAATCAATGGGTGGTTGTAAGTTTTCCAGGCTGAATGGGCATGTTCCAGAAGCATTCTCTCCTGAAAATTCTCTCCGGAAAGCACATACAACCCTATTGTTGAAGGTTTTCACGGCTGGAATCACTGGGTGGTTGTAAGTTTTCCAAGGTGAATGGCCATGTTCCAGAAGCATTCTCTCCTGATGTTTTGCCTGCATCTATGGCAGGCATCCTCAGAGGCTGTGACGTCTGACCTCACAACCTTTGAGGATGCCTGCCATAGATGCAGGCGAAACGTCAGGAGAGAATGCTTCTGGAACATGGCCATACAGCCCGGAAAGCATACCCACAACAACCCTGTATGACAATGTATTGTCGAAGGTTTTCATGTCTGAAATCACTGGGTGGTTGTAAGTTTTCCGGGCTGTATGGCCATGTTCCAGAAGCATTCTCTCCTGACGTTTCGCCTGCATCTGTGGCAGACATCCTCAGAGGCTTTGAGACCTCACAACCTCTGAGGATGCCTGCCATAGATGCAGCCAAAACATCAGGAGAGAATGCTTCTGGAACATGGCCAGACTGCCCAGAAAGCACATATACAACAACCCTGTTGTTGAAGGCTTTTACGGTCGGAATCACTGGGTTGCTGTGAGTTTCCCGGGTTGTATGGCCGTGTTCCAGAAGCATTCTCTCCTGGCATTTCGCCTGCATCTATGGCAGGCTTTCCTAGAGAGGGATGCTTGCCATAGATGTGGGTGAAACATCAGGAGAGAATGCTTCTGGAACATGGCCGTACAGCCCAGAAAACTCACAACTACCCAGTTATATGACAGCATAGATCCAGACACACACAATCTCCAATGCAATCACTCCTCTTAGTGCCAGGTAGCCTTTTACACCCCAGCCGAGATCTTCCTTGCCAAATAATAATAACTGTGCAGTTTTCTGGCATTGTATATTTTTGCCGCTTCTGTGATTGTTCATTCGAAAATACATCACACAGTCCTAGTCCCTTGGGAAGTGTTCGACTTGTGATTTTGTGATACGAAATCCAGAATATAGATCTCATTTGCTGTGACATACTGTGTCAGTAAAATAATAATAGTAATCAAACTGCAAAAGGCTCTGGCATAAACCAGTACAGGTGGTCCCAGTGGTCATTGGCATACTGGGTGCCATGCCAAAAGATCTCAGCCAGCATTTGAAAACAATAAACATTGACAAAATCACCATCTGTCAACTGCATCATTTGAAAATACATCACACAGTCCTAGACGCTTGGGAAGTGTTCGACTTGTGATTTTGTGATACGAAATCTAGCATATAGATCTCGTTTGCAGTGACATACTGTGTTTTTGTGTCAGTAAAATAATAATAACAACAATATATCGTGTCAGTAAAATAATAATAATAATAATAATAATAATAATAATAATAATACTATAATATATATAATAATCCCAACATACTGGGATCTGCACTCATTATTCACTATACATCACATACTCCTAGACACTTGGGAAGTGTCTGTTGTATTATCCAATACAATAGCCAGCAGAATGATCTTGTTTGTTGTGTTTCAAATAATAATAATAATAATAATAATAATAATAATAATAATAATAATAATAATAAAAGAATGTAAAGATCGAACTGCAAAGACTCTGGCACAAACCAGTCAGGTTGGTCCCAGTGGTGTTCAGCACACTGGGTGCAGTGCCTAAAGATCTTGGCCTGCACTTAAAAACAATCCACCCTGACAAAATTACCATCTGTCAACTGCAAAAGACCACCCTACCCGAATCTGTACACATTCTTCACCAATACACCACACAGTAATAATAATAATAATAATAATAATAATAATAATAATAATAATAATATATTAATAATATATTAACCATGTGAGTAGTAAATTGAGAATACAGCTATAATGTATAAAAAACACAAATTAGTAAAAATATAACATTATAATATATAATATTATATTATATTATATATTATAACACCACAAAGTAATAATAATATATTAATATATAATATAACAATAATATATAATATAATAATATAAAACCACAAAGTAATAATAATATAATATAATAATGTATAATTTAATAATAATCTTAAAGCACAAGCAAAGTAATAATAATGCAATATAATAGTATAATATAGCAAAATTATTATTATTATTATTATTATTATTATTATTATTTGTAACTCACCCTATCTCCCCAAGGGGACTCAGGGCAGTTTCAAGAACCAAAGTGGCAAACATTCAATGCCATCATGAACAAACAAAACAGATCCAAACAATAAATAAATAACATCAAAATAAATTTATCAACTTCAATGACTAACCATAGAATCATTAAAACTGGTAAGCCTCGTCGTATACATCAACATCATGACAAAATCCAAATAATTAAAATGCACTAAAGGTATCAAATGATGCTGGGGGTGTTGTTTAAAATTATGTCATGATGATAAACAACAGCCAGACAGCACCAGAGGGGATTATGTTTATTATGTTTATTTATATCGCGCTTTCTCTCTCCATAGGGAGATTCAGGGCCCTTTCACACAGCCACATAACTCAGAATATCAAGGCAGAAAATTCCACAAAATCTGCTTTGAACTGGGTTATGCAGTTCAAAGCAGAAAATGTGGTGTTTTATTCAATGAAAAGCATTATAATACAACTTCAAATACAGAAATAGTAAACAGTGTTATTATTATTGTTATCATAATCTTTATTTATATCCATGGGGACTCAAGATCGCTAACATCTACCCACACTAAACAGTTTAAAAAGAGCAATACGAATGTTAAAAATAATTAAATACTTACAGTGTGGTAAAAAGAAAACAGAATTAAAATACAGCAAATACACTAAAAGGGCCCTTAAAACTCATATTATCTCCCCCCCCCCAAATCCCATCCACCCTCCCCAGAGTGTCCCCTTCCCCAAAAGCCTGTTGGCAGAGGAAGATCTTGATCAATGCAATTTAAAGTGCATTATATTGACAGCGTAGACCCAGTTTGAACTGTGCTGCATTGCATTGCATGGCTGGATCAACACACTGGCATCGAATGCAGTTTCAGAATGCAGTTGAACAGGGTTAGATGAGTTTCGCACTGCCACATCATGTCTGAAACAGCATTAGATGGCATCGTGTCCATCCAGCCATTCAAAGCAATGCAGTGCAATTCAAACCACATTATATGGGTCTACACTGTCAATATACGGGGCCCATATAATGCACTTCAAATTGCATGATTTGGCAGCATAGATCCGGCCTTGGGAATAATAATGGAGTTATCAACAACCATTGCAGGTGGTCCCCAAGTTAGGAACAAGATTTGTAAATCAGAACCGGTAAATTTTTCAATGTAACTCCATTTTGTAAATAATACATATTAGCTTTGGAAAGTATAGGGAAGGGTAAACACCCCTATGGTGCTTGTTTTGCTGTCTGTGCCCCTGTTCGGAATATTTCACTTCATTTTCTGTCCATGTGAGAATTGGATTTTGAAAAATGTGGTTTGTTGTGGAAACAAAGATTTTGTAGCAGTTGCTGGGATGTACAGTTTACTTACAATCAAAGAGCATTTTGAACTCCAGCAACAATGGAATTGAACCAAACTTGGCACACAGTTCTCCCATGACCAACAGAAAATACTGGAAGGGTTTGGTGGGCATTGTCCTTTGGTTTTGGAGTTGTAGTACAAAGATTGGTGCTAAAGCTTCAATAGAGACCCCTTTTCTCCGTGATAATAACTCTCCCAGGAGTGGATTTCCCTTCCGAGGGATAGATTTCTCTCACCTCCTGTTATCTCACCCTGTTCTTAACAAGGAGTCATTTGTAAGTTGATGTTTGCAACTCAGGGGCTGCCTGTTCTCCACTTAGTAAGATCTCAGGCTACTTTTAACTGCCAAAGAATGCGGTTTGATGCCAGCTACAGATGCAGGCGAAATGTCAGGAGAGAATGCTACACAGCCTGAAAAACTCACAGCAACCCAATGCAGTTTGAACTGCACTGCATTGAATGCCTGGATCTACACTGTCATATAATGTGGTTTCGGAATGCAGCTGAACTGGATTATATGAGTTTGCAATTCCATATCATGGAGTTCAATGCATTCCGAAACTGCATTATATGGCAGTGTAGATGGAGTCCCAGAATTGCATGATTTGGCAGTGTAGATC